GTGAAAATTTTTAAAACATTTTTATCTTTCTAAGAGAACATCAAAACAAGCTAACTGAACTGTAAATGCATCTACTAATACTCTCCATTTTCAATTTTCATTTTATAAGATCCAATTTGAACCAATGTTCAGTTGTTTCACAGATGGCCTCATATGTTACCCCAATCTTTGCTTGTAATGAAAGAATATACTGTCAACTACATGGTTTCCATGAGCCCAGATGTGGTTGCAAAACAAGCTGTTATCATTCAGCCTCAAACTTTGCTTCACAATTAGTAGTCATTTGTTCTGAAACTTTACTTTTGCTAAGATAAGGAGCATTATTTCTCATGGTTCTTAAAGTGCTAACTGAGGCCTGAATCAGAGTTTCTGGATGGTCTCACCCAGCACTTGTTGTCTCTCATCCTCTCCTGTAACATGGGGAGTTCTCTTGACCGTTTTCCAATTGTAAATAACAGTTTTCACTGTAGAGAGAAGGACTCTAGCTTGTTTTGAGATTGCTTCATTATCCCTTTTTGGTGAACTGGCAGCAGTTGCTTTTCTAATTGAAGTTTTCCTGTCTTGGTATTGTGTACTCCAACCTGGTGATGCTTGGCTGTTTCACCTAATTTTTCCACACATTGCTTCTCCCTGCTGGCTCAATGTCTTAGACAACAAATGTGATAATCAGATTTGTAATAGTTTATCTGAAGTTGTGTTTAATTTTTGGGGGGTCTTGTATGGACAAGATGCACTTATTTTACCCTGATTTAAAAATGTTTCATTTAAAGATTGACTGTAAAAACAAATATTATTTTTATAAAGTACTTTTCTCATTCTGGTCAATAAAATTGTCTCATATGTAGCATTTTAAATAAACTTGAAATACAATTTAAAGTTTCCCTACTTAGGTGTTTGTTGCATACTTGTAGTCATCAATTAACCATCAGTAAACATGATTGTGCTGTTGAGTGGTTGCTTCAGAGTAGTATTGACTGCCCGAAGGGTGGGGCATTGTGCCAATTCTCATTAGTCTTCTCTGTCCTTTCACCTTTTTTGTCTTAAATCTCTCCCTCCCGCTGATGTGGGCGCCTACTGATTCAACCTTATGGTCCTCCTAAGTGTTTTAGTAGAAATGTATTGATCTTTGAGCATATGCCATTTCTCCTGCTACCTGGATATTCATAAATGGAGAAGACAATAGGCAGTCTTCCATCTGCATGTGTGTAATTGAATTTCCATTCACTCAAGTCCAATCCAGAGTTATCGTTGGAAAAAATTGTGAAAACAAACGGAAATCACAAACTTTCCCATTAGGTGGTTTGATGCAGCCATATAGATTGTGTTGTGTCTCTGGAAATAAATATCAAGAAACACAAAAACAAATACAACTGCAGTGGAATTATGCAAATATTTCTCAGATGGGAAGGTGCTGGTCAGACTGGTCAGCTGGTGAATCTTTTTATGATACTTCCTCTGGAGTAGAAATTGGGAGTGACCACAAAACTCAGCCCTCTGACCTCTCATTCTCTCTGCACTCTGTGGTGTTTTTGAGTCCTGCCTCCAAGTCAGTGACCTTGGCTGACACTCATAACTTTAATCAGCAGCTCTGTCAACACAGGCAACCTCAACCAGCAGCACCTTAATAAGCTAAGAGTGCCACACTTGACATTGGCATGGTTGTTTTTTTTCTTCTTTTACCATCATTACAAAACCAATGTCCCCATAAAGTATATACCTTGCAGGATCTTGCCTAAGGACTCAGACTGGATTCAAACCCTACCCTCTCAGGTGGAAGACTGATGACTTATGTATTGAGCTATATCACTTTCCCAGAGACTAGGACTAGGACTAGGACCATGGACTAGGTCTTACAAGTTTAGAAAAGTAATATACAGGCTTTTCTTTCCCTTAATACACTAAAGAATCATTTGTAAACAAATGTTTGGTTTCTGCTCATGTAACCTTTGTCTGACAATAAACTTTGCAACATCAAATAAAAAACCAAGTGTGAAAAAAGATGTAAAAACAGAAGAAATCTGTACTTGTAAAATTTTTCACAGCTCTGATGCTCCCAATTGCTTCTCACTTTTCAGAACTTAGGGCACAGCAGGTTATTGCAAAACAGCACTGTGTAAATCTGACTGAAAGGAAAATTAACATCTATTGCACCTCCAGTAATTGCCCATTGTCCTTGTGTAGTTGTCATTTAAACAAAGTTTGAATATTCTATTCAAACTATACCAACTTTTGAAAGTAACTTTGACAGAGGGGCGTGCTTGTGGCTTAAAGATAATCACATCAAGAGCACAGAGCCTGACCTGTTTTTGCATCAGTAAGTTTCTGTTCAATGAAAAGCACTCAATTGGTAATTGTTGTCTTGCCTTCAGTGGGAATGTGAATAGCACTTTATTGATTGAGAGCAAAATGTTTTTAATGTTGTAGATGAGATTTCTGGATTGCCAGCTAATGGGAAGATGGAGGCTCTGTGCAATCTATTTTGAAGTCAAGTTCCAAATTGAAAATCTTTACAGACATAATTAAGGTTTATCTGAATGGAATGTCAAAACTCTGGCTTTTTTTATTTCTATTGTCTTGGCATTGTCAATGCTTAAATAAACAATTGTGGTCATAACTGTCTTTGTTTGGTTCAAATTAAATATAAATGTGTTAAGCATATATAGTATGTCAAGGCATTTCTTATGAGCACTTCTCCACTGAGAGGTTCTTTTTTTGTCCTTTGGTTCGGATGCAGTGGATTTAGCATGTTGGTCAAGGATATATGAGCACATGGCGCTGCACTGGGGCCCAAGCAGGGTCTCTCCACAAGGGGGGTGTCCTGGATTTCTGATACCTGTTATGGTTAGATGTATAAAACAAAACTTCCCCTAAATAACCTGAATGCCCTGACAGGAACAATAAGAATGAACACACTGCTGCTCAACTGGTTGAACAAACATGATCATAGGGATCATCATCTTATACAGTATTTTCACATTTTATAGCATTTTGCATAGCTTCTGTCTATTTAAGCGTGATAGCATTTATAATATAAAATGGGTTTCAGAGTTGTAAGACTTAAAACTGGTCATTTTTGGTTCGATGGTAGATGGGAAAAGCAGCGGGGTTTTTTCAGAAGTCTCAAATAAATGCTTGGGGACATTTTTTAAAATTTTCAGCTGGCAGTTTAGTCAGCTTGGTCACTTTCAAGGTTTCTAAAAAAGTCACAACAAATGTTTATTCTAATGACCTACATAGTCGTTGATATTTAGGTTGCGCAGTCAAGATAATGCATTCAAGTGTTAGACGTTCACAATCTTCAAAAATATATTTTCAAGATAGTACGGTCTGCAAAGTACATTTCATTCTTCACTTTAAGGAGTCTAACGCTTGATTTATTATATTTGTACTAAAATATCCCTTAGGTATATGTGTCTCTTACCAAAAACAAAAAACTAAGGAAAATAGAAGAGACAGTTTTAGACTGTACATTTTAAGACAGAGGATGAGTGGCAACATTTTTGGTTAAAATACTTAGATGGATCTTTAGTGAATAATGCATTATAATGCATGGACTGAATGAAATGAGACCACAGAGTGCAGACTAAAGCTGTGTTTCACCTGAGTTTCCCCAATAACTAGACACAAGCCATCTTCCCACAGAGAGTGCTGAATTTTATTAATTTTTTCACATGATCAAAGGGAAATTTATGTCACATTACTTTTAAATAAAATCTGTATTTACTGTGAGTCAGTCACCTCTATTTTCCCTCCATGTATCTTTTATCTTTAAGATGCTGTTTTCTTTTCTTTTCTATTTCTCTTTGTTGGTGTTGTTATTTCTTAGATCTTTCAATTTTATTACACTGAGTGTGGGACAAATTTCAAGGACTAATATAATCTAAATGCTCCTCAAGACACATTGTCAATAGTGCACTTCAGCTTCTATTATCCCCTTATTCTTGGTAGTAATAAGTTGACACTTTACAGTGATAGCTGTAATAATAAATGATTTGGCAATGGTAGTGTAGCCAAGACATGAGTTAACAATGCAAACCTAAAATATAATCTGGGAAGATGCAGCCAAAGAGATGTTTTCAGTAAATTGGGACAAACTTATTTGGTATTCGATCAGTTTATGAACCCTAAATATAAAAACATATTTCATGTATTAGTTCTTAGTGGAATTATCTAGTTTGAAACAAGAGACCTATTCATTTGCACAAAATACCTCATCATGCAATTTAGATGAAATTTTTAGTTTATCCTGAATGGTTTACTTTTGATTTGACAATGTAGACATTGTGCAGATACCTCAATTGAGGAAAATGCCCCTTGAATTGTTTCATTATTCAGTAGTTTGTGCAACAATATTTAGGTGCTACAACTGAATGAAATTATTGAATTACCTTCTCAGTATGCCAAGAAGTTTCATTTGATTGAGGTGTTTTGGAGAACAGCTGCATATAAGACTTTCAGAACACTAGATATCAAGGACAAGAGTTGCAGATCCTGACATAGCTCAAAGCATACTTATGTGTTATAATGTCCTAGTAAAAGTTCAGACTTGATGTTTTTTTCCCATCCTAACTGAAATAGAGCTACTTTTCAAATAACTAATGCACAAAAAATAAATCAGTAATATGCATCTCCAAAGCTGACAATGTTTATAAGTATAATTCAAACTCTTGCAGTTGTAAATGCAATAGATAGCAGTTGTAGAAAATCTTGATTCATGGAGTCTGACATTGATTATTAAATATAAAAATGTTTAAATCTATGTATTGTTTTCACTCCACTTCAGAAATTGCATTACATTTCTTGTTCTAATACATGAACTCCATTTAAAATACAAACATTTCAGGTTGTAATGTGACAAATTTTGAAACAAAATAAAAAACAAACATGTTTTTGCAAGGCACTGTTCTGAAATGTGTAGTTGGTATGCATTACTGTGCTGTGAAACATGTCGCGAGAACTGTCACAGGCATTCTAACCACTGCCTGTATTTGTGCTTCCAGTACACGTGAAAGCTGGAACCTGTGAGGTAATTGCTGCACACCGATGCTGCAACAAGAACAAGATCGAAGAGAGATCCCAGACTGTCAAATGCTCCTGCTTCCCTGGACAGGTGGCAGGAACAACGAGAGCAGCTCCATCTTGTGTAGACGGTATGCCAGACTTCTCATTACAGTTCTGGTAATGATTCCAGAATGGCACGAGATTAGAAATATGTGACACAGTGCAAAGCTGTCAGTGTGGATCAGGCAAGTGTTTTGCTGTTCATTTGTGCATGAGAAGTTTATTGCATAGAAGACAAAGAGACTTTTGTGCTCTGTGTGTTGTTTGAGACGTCACCGTTTTCTAAATCAAATCTCCAGCCAGTACATTCAGTAGCCCTTTTGTCTGCCATTGAAGATACAACAGAGATGCCCATCAGAGCAGACAGATGGCCAGGTCATTTAATATCATGTCAGCAATGTCCTCAGTTACAGGTGAATCGATCCCCATCTTCTCCTTTTAGTGTAACAGCCCTGACAGGTCTCGATTTTGACAGTTCTCTACTCACTTTAGAAATGTCATGGGAAAGTGTTTTTTCCCCGTAGGCTTCTTCAAAGCAGCAGAAGACCTTGACTGCATGCTACCTTTCTCCTACAGTGCACACAACCACCCTTCTCACACCTACTTACAACACTCACTGTCCTGACATTCACCCATATCTGTAATTCAAACCCAAAAACACACTTGGGCAGAACTGAAAGCTATAAAATATACTCAATTCAATCACTGAAATGTACACAGAGACTAAATCTGTTTGTGGCTTCTACAAACATACCAGAACCGTGCTCTGCTTTAAGACAACAACAGCATAACTGCTTATAGTACAGCATTTTTTAAATGTTTTGTTTTCATCACAGCATCAATAGTTGCACAGAAGTGGTGGTGCCAGATGCATCCTTGCATGGATGGAGAAGAGTGTAAAGTGCTACCAGATCTGAAAGGATGGAGCTGCAGTACAGGAAACAAAGTTAAGACTACAAAGGTGGGTTCATTTTTCAATTATGTTCACATTTTTAAGGAAATAACTGGTATTAATTTTGTATTAAGTATAAAGATTTGCTGTATTCTCTAGGTTTTTAGGAATCAGAAAAATGACTCCCGATTTAATGACCTGGGATAAAACTGAGTAAAGGAATGGAACTGAAGCTAAGAAGAACACTATAAGATTGTGTTATTAGCCTCAGATGAGAGCAGTGCAGAGGAGGCAGGGGGGGAAACAGGAGTGAAGTCAGTGAAGCGTAACTTCATGCTGTTGGCTTAAAACACGGGAAACACAGGAGTTAATGTCTATCTATTTAGCCATTGCCCCTGGTTGTTTAAGATGTTGAACTATAGTTGTATTATTGTATTTTACTTAACTTACAAAACGAATACTCGCGCATAAAAGTCAAATTGGGGGAAAAAAATCACTTAGTGTGAAGTTGTGATTCTGACAGCAACTGACTCTAATTGTATATGAACAATACATGGCATAGAAAAAATGAGAAAATATGTACGAATGTCTGCCAGGAACCCCGCAGTAAAAGTGAGGGAAGGATCTAAAGCAATTTTTCTACAAGAGTTTTAATCTAAATTCTTTTTTCTGGTAGAAAACTAAAAACTGACGGACTGTATTTTTTAGTTTCACAGTGTGCCTAACCATTCATGCAAGTGAACAAAAAATGTCTTCAGCTGAAAAAGAGTAAGATTTAGAATGGCCTACCCTTTGTTTAGCACTAAGACCTTCCTCTTAGCTCTGATTGGTTGTTTTTGACCTGGTGCAGTGCATTTCTGCGGGTAACTCTATGACTACAGAGACGAGGCAAAGAAACTTGATTTTTTGCATATTATCTGTCTCATATTCTGCTGTCATGACATAAACAAGTAAAAAAGCATGTTTTTATGGAAGTTACCGACTGCAGTCAGCTTTAAATGAGACATTAGACATGGAGTTATAAAGCATGTGAAAAAAATCAATTATCACCTCTGTAATAGAAAATGTGACTGTACACACAAGTTTACCATTATGACATTGAGCCATTTTATCCAAATCAATCTTGTCTCCAAGGTTTTACTTTTAGCTGAGATGTAAAATCAGATTCTGTCATTGAACTGCTTTTGACCACAACTGATTTCTATGAAAAGCTAAAGAAGGCATCCAAGGATAAAGAAACACAAAATTCTCCATGAAGCACAATTGTTGAATGGGATGTGGTGCCAGAGTGCAGCAGTGCTCAAGATAAAACTCTTTTCTAAATTAATGAAGCTTGTCAGGATGTGTGTTCAGGTTTTTGTTGGATGAGCTGGACCAAAAGTGAATGGTAGGTGAGGGGATAGGTATGGTTGAGGGGAACACATAGGACCCTTCCCCATCTATCATAGACCATGGTTTGACTCACCAAAAGCCAGTAGTTGAGCTGCCTCATCCATTATTCATGGTACAGGAGGCCTGGATGAAGCAGAGCTTTTTATTTTAGCCGGGTTAATAATTCATGCCCTCTGTTACAGCCACGAGAAAGCAGAAACAGAGGCACAGATGAGCAGGGGTCCAGGTGGCTAGTAGAACCCGTCAGAACCTCGACTCTTTTATTGATTAGGGAGTCAGCGGGGGTCGCTCCATGCTCATGGCCTTACTGCCTCCCACAGAGAGCCAGCGTGGGATGGCTTGTGTTTGCCAGAGGGCTCTGTACTTAAACTTCTTGGACAGTTAACATCCTTCTGAGGAATGAACAAAAGGGCTGACTGAGAACCAGGCTCACAGTCTCCAGTGTGATGCTGGTGTTGTGTCTGTTTCCATGGAGTTTTTCACAGAGATACAAATTCCAACCAATGAAAATTCAACAGATAGTTCAGAGCAAAAAAATAATAATAGAAAGATCAATATGTCTTTTCACCATTTACACTTAGTAAAGAAATGAACTTAATATTGGACTTGACTAAAATGGAATATTCTCCTTTCGGAATATCTATGCTTTTTCCTTTTCAAAATGATTAACAAAACAGCATATTGACAAAATATCAAATTAATTGATCACCAGATCTTTTAAAATGTATAGCATACAGAAATCCATGGTTGAATTCTGCAGAGATTGTGTTAAATGCATCTAGTTGTCTTGTCTGTATGCAACTGAGATAATAATGTTACATGCAGCACTTGGAGTAGCTGTTGAAAAAAACACATTTGTGACAAATCCACAGTCATGTTTTCAGCATTATCCACAAAATTACTAACAGAAGATGTGAATTATTATTTATCATTCTTCATACTTTATAGTTAGTTTCTGCAGATATGGGAACATATGAGATTGTATTTTACAAGTTCCTTCCTGAACTAGTTCACAACCTTTCTGTTGGACTGCTGCTCAACATGCCTAAGTTCTTATTAATAAAGGTTCTTCATCGTTTGACTTGAGGAGTCTTTTATGTACTGGCAACCCACTCAATAACTGGAGGAAATGGGCGTAAAGTCCTATATGACCCTCCATGTATGGATGGATGTATTAGCTGCTCTTGCTTCTACTGAACTTTTCATTTGTCCTTATTACTCTGTGTAAATAACGTCACTAATAGTCTTCCAAAGTTTTCTGATCCTGGTAGCTAAGATGTGCCAGTTGTGGACAAAAATCATGTAGTTCATTTAAGGATGGAAAATACATTTTTATATCTTATCTACTACTGGAAGCAGTCCTTTGTGTTTGCAATATTGCACACATTCATGTTTCACCAAAAGTAATATTCAGGTGATTATGTAGCTCTAGAAATAAAATGTAGTACATTGATTAGATGTATTTCAATACCTCATATTTACCACAGAGACAAGTAAGTATGAAACAGAGAACAGACCATCTCATTGAAATTTCATTTAGCTTCAGTTAAGCAGTTCTTTGTACATTATGTTAAAAGGAAGATGTTTTGTACAGTTAATTCATGTACAAAGCAAGCATAAATAAAGCCATCTGCCATTAGAAATCAATTCTAGATGTGTCAAAACCCTCAGTAAATTGTTTTGGGTGATTACAAAGCTGTGGCTATGCCCGCTAATAAGTTCTTTAATCACCGTTGTTGTCATTTAGACCACAACAAATTGCTGAATGCATGCCAAAGCACAAATGAGAGAAGTAAATACTGGTCTGTGATGTATTTTAATTTTTCTAACCTCAAGTTTTTATTGGAATGACACCAAAGCACACAGTGTCTTCAAAGATTCTGTTGCACTCTAAGAATAAAAACAAGTAATAAAGATTTCTTGGTTCTTAGAAGACTCTTTTGAAATTCTGTTTTCATTTTCTTATTTAAAGACAGACTGTATTTATTTTTTTATAGTTGAACAGAATATTCTTGTGTTCCACAAAACTGATGTTTTGGACATCAATTAACTTCTCACTTTCAATGCCTTCTTTTTCCTGTAATGCAAATCAATCCTTCCAGATGTTGCATTGATGAGATTAATGATAAAAAAAATGGTTGTGTTGTTTCACCACATGAAGGCACATCAGTAAATCCGACAAGACCCTCTAGGTTCTGCTCGATAAACTTTGTTTGTTCCTTCTTTCTGTACATGTTCTAGGAGCAGCAAGTTTTACAGTCCTGCTGCTGGTGATGTCAAGAATTATAACCCCAGTCGCTCCTGCTTTTTGCTTTCTATCAATCAGAGGACACAGGGCAAAAGAACCACATATCCTTCCCACATGACAGGTGTTATGAAGCTTGCTGAGATTATGTTAGTGTTAGTGATGGATAGATGTCTAAGAGACTTATTTTTTCCAAGACACAATGAAAATATGTTTTATACCTGCAAAAAAAAGTGTGAAAAATCTGCCAATGCAGCTTTAAACTGAAAAAAAAAAGATTGTATTGCCAAACAGAGGCTGAATATACTGTATAGCGCTAGAGAAAAATATTCTAGATAAAAAAAATAAAATCTGACTAGTTTTATTGTATCAAGGCAGTGGAAGACATATTTATTCTGGTGCACATATGTACAATATATGTTGGTTTGATCTTAGATTTTTTTTTACATCTTATATATTTCTTAAGGTTGCTGCCAGTAACATTTACAAAAGCATATTTTATTTTTTTTTTCAAAACTGTCATTGAATATATCATGAGACTTTTGGATAAATGCAGTGCTCCTGGTCAGAAACAACCAATCAGAGACAGCTGGAAGGTTTTACCCATGTCAAACATGGTTGTGCACATGCTGCTCTCACCCTTTCCCCAAACATCAGACTTCAGGAAAGGGACCTTTCAGGTATTGTACAAATTTTGAACAATACCACGTCCATGGTTTTATCAAAACTCCTTGCTCTAGCTTCCAGACATTTTGTAATGGTTTGACTGTTTGTGTGTGTGTTTTTTTTTTTTTTTTTTTGGTTTTTTAAATGCACTCACTAACTAGAAAAAAAGAATCACTTGGAATATAATTTGATACACTGATCAACCAGTGATTGATATATATCTATAACTAATTCATTTAGCAAAGAGTTGGCATATCTGTTAGTAAGACAGACCTTGGAATCAATGGACATTGATTGAACTGTACATTGGAGTTCATATATACATGTCAAGTGGCACAGGGATCTATAATTACTGGTGGACAGCAACATAATCTTGTCTGAGACTGGTCTGTCTTGGATGATAATAAGTTTCCTAACATGCATATTTTAGATGCATTCCTCCTCCGTAACCCCTGAATAAAATGGGTGATTCACCTTTGCAAGTTATGCAGAGGTGACAAACTATTGAATTGATCTTGTTGTGCTGGACATGATTCACCTAAAAGTTACAAGACAGTGGCTCCTGGTGACTACAATTGGAGACCCCTGATTTAAAAGCATTGATGAAGCATTCCCTGGATCTGATGCTGTACACTCTATTTGTAATGCTGGTACCTCTAGATGTACCAACTCTTTTCAAGTCATTCTACATGTTAACCAAGTTAAGTTCACCAAGCAACTTCATGAGGGTACCTCACTTGGTTGCATAACTTCTTTTCTTATTGAGTTTTATTCTGAATAAAAATGTACCTTCTGTTTGACTTCTTTGGTGTTTACTCAGCAGCAACAAAGATGCCCATAATATTCCATCACACTAAACCCTTTAAAAGTTTTTATATGATCTTGTACTCTTGTGTTTTACACCTTTTGATTTATACCTCATTCCATGTTATTTATTCCCCTAAAGCCTTGAAAATAAAAGTTGTATCCTATCTTGTTTTTTTAATCACAACATGTAAGATAAAAAAATGTTCAAATCATAAGATTAAAGCAAAGTGAGTAAAATAATTTCCACAATCAAGATTTCTGCCTTTTATACACCATTGCTGCTGCCTGCTGCTGCAACAGCAGTGAGATCAAATCATTTCCACATCCTCTCTCACACCATGATGCCTGAGGATTGTCGCATGGAAGTGAAAATTAAATTGTGGCTCCCCAAACAGCAAGCACATTGTGATCAGCTGCACCTGAAAATAGCATAAAAATCATTCTTGTGTAGAAATTTGGATTTGCATTACTCAGACTACTGATTATTTGTGGCAATGGCATGCTGATTCAACTGGTGACATCCCAGCAACTGCTTAATGAACAACCATAATGTGGAAACACTCTCACAGGAACACCTTTTCCACCTGCTGGTCTGTGTTTGTGTTTATGCTTTAAAGCTTCTGCTCACAAAGGGCAAATAACAAAGTCAGAAGAAACAGCCAAGCTGTCACCACTTATTTTAAGAATCTTGCTTAAAGTTGAAGATACACAGAATATTTTACAGTTGCATATTTTAGATTAATATTTATGAAAACATACACAAGCATTGCAGTATGCCATATACATGTCAAGAATAATAGTATTCCTCATTTGTATAAGTCATTGACCACAATGCAGTTTCCATTTCAGCAGACTTCCGTCTGTCATTAATGTTGTGCAGCACCACAGATGTTTGAATTGCAAACACACCAGTTGGGAATATGCACACCTTGAACTTGTCACACTTTGACTGTTGCTGATGGCTGCACAGCATCAGAACAAGAGCCTGCTTTAAGAGCAAACCCATAACATTTAAATAGGGTGAATGTAATACTTTAATAGTATGTGTCTATGTGCATGAGAACATCTTTTTATTAAATTTATACATGTATGTATACATTTGTGAAGGTTAATGGGAGTGCAAATAGTGGTTACTGAATAAATAGACAAAGAAAAAAAAGTTTTTATTTCTCACAAATAAAGGATCAATGACAACAATTGACTCATTTACTCATTTGGACATAATTGAAATGTCTTGTTGATAATTGACCCCATTTCATATTTTATTTTATAACTTAACAGTGAAAAACTCCAGATACGAATGTCTTAGATATTGCTGTGAAAATAAGTTACTTTTCTGTTTCTACTACAGCCATAAATCGTACTCTGACATTGCTTTTCTTTCTCTTTGTTCCCAGGTTACTCGATAGTCATATTTTTCCTGGATAGATATTTGGAACCAAGATGTTTCTTTGACCAACACAAGTAGGACGTTTTGGATACCATGGGATTTATAGACTGGCAAAAACCAGGGACCAACACAGACATTAGTTTGGGACATTCCAGTGAACAAAAAGAGGAAAAAATATTAGAAAATTCATATGAGACTGCAATGCCAAACAGATTCTTGACTTTTTGTCTAGCATCAAAAGTAGCTTTCTTTCAACTCTGCTGCCCACCAAATCTCTCTTTGTATTATACTTCTAATCCAATGGACTTGAAAACTCAACCATGGTGATATTTATTGACTTGAAGACTGGATTAGACCCTGAAAAACCCACCCTAAAACATGTGATGTGAAATTTTGTGTCATGTTCTTGCCAGAAGGAGCATTGGGACTCTTGATGCATATCTCTGTGGAGGCTTTTATGAGGTCATAAGCATTTTTGATTCCTTTTAGCCTTATGGAGGAGATATCTTGTCTTACATTTTGTTGGTTTGAAAAAGCCTGGCCTTTCTTCTTTTTGAATTTATTAGGATGTTAAGACCACTTTTGAAAGACACCCATAATAAACACATCTGGAAATAAAAATAAAAGAAAGGTCAAAGTAGCTGAGTTCTGCAACTATGATTTAATGGTATCTGTTACTTTCAACGCCTGGTGACTGCTATTCATTACAACTGTCAATATTATCTCAATAAATCTGATTCAATGAACATTTCTCTTTAGAATAACTGCAGTCTGTATTGTATTGGTGAATTGGTGGAGCTCAGCATGTTGAGCAAATGTTCTAGCAAATGAAACGAGGGGGAGGATCACTCAGAGCTAATCAGGTTTGATCTCATGGTGGAACGGAAATGTGAAAATCAGCAAATACAAAAATAGGCCATGGACAAAAAAAAAAAAACAGAAAGGAAAATGTTTCCTCTCAGTTTGAAAATTATGTCTTATATCTAGTTCACAAAAGTATGGAATATTGTGAAACAATTCTCCCCCTTTTATAATTTTTTTTCTGTTGCTTTTTTTGTCACACTTAAATGTGTCAGATCATCTAACAAATTTTATATATCACCCAAAGATTACTCAATCAAATTGTGATTTTATTATTAATGGACAAAAGCAATCACAGCCTAGCTGGCTCTATTTGAAAAAGTAATTGTCTTAATAACTGACTACTATTAAGCCATTGCAATGACTGAAAGTGAGTCTGGAATAGTTTAATGATTAATGATTTCAATTGAGATACTCTGGAGGGATTTTGACTCATTTAAAGTTATGGGGCAAAATCTATGTGACAAACACCAGAAATATCAACAATGTCAGTGAAAAATACTGAATAATAGTAGTGCTTTCTTCACTAATAAAATAAAGGGCGTTGTAAGACAAGTGTTACATCTCAGTGACAGCATTTATAATCGTTTCTTGAATTTCTTTAGTTGAGTGATTGATTTGTTGCAGTCCTGAGGCCTGGGTGTGCCTGCTGAAATTTAACTCAGTTTTCCAAAACAGGTGGTTAATCACAGTCAACTCGGGATATAATTACACTTTTCACATGGGCCAGCTCGGTTTGGATAGCTTCCAATTTTAATACAGAAAATGACCATTTTTGCTCAAATTTCTCCCCAAACTAAATGTTTCAGTTATCCAAACGTAAAATAAAAAAAATATAAATATTAATGGTACCAATAAACTGACCAAACTATCACAGTTTCTAGCTCCTTTCATTGCTCTGAATAATGTCCCATAATGCATTATTGCAGTGTGGCATTAAATGAAATAAACCCTCTGATGGAGGTAGGCTGTGCCGTGTGATAGGAGGGTGGCAGATAATGGATGAATGGAAAAGGATTATTAAGTCCTGGTGGCCTTGCCAGCCAGCTGAATCAGTGGGATCCAAGGGCAAATAAAATGTCTGTCCGTTTTTACGGATATAATGTGGTTACTATCATTACCGATATCAACATGAAGCTCCATTCCCTTCTCCGTGGAAGCCGAGCAGGGTGGAGAGAAGAAAACGGTTGGGAGTTTATTTATATTTCAGCTGCATGTTACAATCACTGTAGGGACAGGAAGTCACACTATAAAAGGGGCAGGCCCTTTTGTTGATATAATAATAAAATACAGTTTTGAAATGTAAATTTCTCCTGTAGCTGTCTTTTTTTACTGCTAGATAAAGGTCACTGAATCATCTTTGTGTAAAGGACAACCTGAGAAATGTATTCTGATAGTAAAAAAGACAAGTGACAAAGAAACAATGCTTCATTTTATTATAATTGTGTCTAAACTTCCAACAAACTATCACTTTACGACAAATTTTATATTTTGTAAGTCAATTTCTTCTGTAATTGAAACAGTGCATTCACTAAGAATGTTTCTTATACTGAACATAATTAATTAAGCAAAAACGTAAAAGGGTTGCTCCCAGAGATCCGACCTGTGGGACTGATGCTGACAGAGAAATGAGGAGGGTTGCTATGGTTAGTGATCCAGGTTGCGTCTTGTTTGGTTAGAAATCATTAAATTACAGTAATGACTAATTTCTCATTCCTGCTTGTAATTCACCAGAGACCACCATGGATTTAATAAAGAGCTGGCGATGAATTACAAACAGGCTGAGGAAAGGCTACGTGATTATGCAGAGTAATTCAAAAGTGCATTAATAAAACAATACAGAAACATTGCTAAATCATTTGAGATAAAGGCTATTTGCATAATTCATTAAGATTAATCAGACCAGGCAATCTACCACAGTGCTCTGAGGAGTAGCAAGGGAAGACATGATTCCTGTCCCCTGGAAAAAAAAAGAAACCTCTTCTATCTACAAACAATGATCCAAATCTACCCTTGGATCAGAGAATTAACCTCTGTGCACTTTACAGCCCCTGCAGTGTTGAAACACAATCCTTCAGTCATCCACCTTAATGTGGGCTAATATTCTATTAATAATGAAAGATCTTTTCATTCAGGAGCTCCTCTGGGTTCTGTTGCTCTGCCATGAAAGACCTTCAAAAAAAGATGAATGGGTTTTGCATACAATGTGCTTGAAAATCAGAGTGGATTTGAGGTTTTTGCTTCTGTTAACATGTGCTTTTCATCCTGAACCGCTGATGAATTGGACAGAGGTCACAAATCACAGAGTGGAAGTCACCTGCTATTCTCTTGCCTGCAATGCATACAAGGTTGCTGCTCAAATCAACACGATTCTTTCAGAACTTTGGAAAACACCTTAAATTATACCTCATCCACATCTTAAAGTTTCAGTTTGATGTGGCATTGACTTTAAATCTTTGTATTGTATTAAGAAACTGTACAAAAAGCACAGAAAGAAATGGGAGGCTGTACTGTGCAAATGAGTTGAGTTGTAAAAAAATATGTGAAAAGACTCTCAAATGTATATTTTCTTTTTGTGGTTTAAAATCCTGCTTAAATTCCTGTCTTTGTTCGCAAAGGTCATTCAAAACTTCAATTCATGTCCATCTTCTGTAAAAACGATTTACTGGAAATTACTATAATGGTAATACAAGCAGGTACTTGTTAGTGCAAAACAGCTTTAATTACATTTTACAATTCACATGGTGGATTTTAACCAGTTATTTCTGGAATTGTATCTGCCAATACACAAATTCATACTTTCTTTATGTGGATAAATTAATATCTCCTAGTTAATTTTGCCTTAATACCGTCCAAAAGTACAACAGTTTTCATTTTATTTCAGAAAATCAATTTATTGTTCTTATTAAATCTAAAATTGCATTTAAATTATCCTGCATATTAAACTTGACCAGTGAATCTTTTCCTAATAGAATTCTTTAAAGTGTGTTATAGAATGTGGGTTATTAGTTTATAGCTGGTTTCATTGCAATTTTTACAGACCGATGCCTCCAAAGCTGTTGATTAAAATCCTCCCGTAACTCTTTCCTGGAAAAATCCCCCGGTCGACTATCTCAAGCAGAAAATAATATTAGTAAAATGGTATTTTCTAGCTGTGGTCAGGGATGGGTACACATCCCTGTGGAAGAGGCTGACAATGACTCACAAATCCAATTTTATTGGAAGACCAATAATAGACCAAATATTAACTCGAGGTCATCTTACAGGTTCAGTGAAATATTGAATTAGCTTGTTTATATGATTAGAACAATGAACAATTGCAATCTGTTTTATGCTTATGTAAACCACAAAAGGTAGGAATTACAATTAAAGTCGCAGTTTTCCTCTCCCAAAGTAAATAAATGAATAAAAAGGCACCACAAACAAAGAGCACATTTAGAACTGAACTCTGAAGGTTCTTGCACTTTGCAAAATATGTACACCAAAAAAACAAAATGCTCACTTACACAAACACCATCTGTTGGGTCTGCCCGGGCATCTTCTTGACAGGATGAATTAGTCTGAAAAACTGTCAGATACACCGCACAAAATTAGATTTTCTCATTTTAAAATGAAAGCTGACAGGATGTAATGAAAAACTGCTCGATCTTGCAAACAGCCAGATGAACTGTAAAAGTCTGTCTGGGAAAAACTTTGCTGTTTTGATCTAACCTAATATGAGTGTTCTTTTTTCTTTCCTAAATTGGGGATTTTCATTCAGTTTTGGTTGCAGTGTGATGCTTATTTTGAAGCATGTTTGTATTTCTCTCTACTTAAAGGCAGTTTATTTTGAGGTGAGCTTTGCATCTTTGTGTTTGTACTGCTGTGACCTGAGGCATAATGGGATTATCCTGCTCAAGGCAAGACGTAGATGCCTTGAATTCTAATATCAAAGCCTTGCTGCTTGTACCTGACACGTCCTCCTCTCTGTGTTTGTCATGCCTGACTGGACTAAGAGGCGATTAGCTTATGAATCACAACACAGCCAGCAAGCTGCTTCGGCAAATCATTCATACTTTCCGTCAGGGTTTCCTATCAGAAGATTTCTTTACAGCATCACATACTGTATATTGACATATGCCAACAGCTTCTTCTCTGTGAAGAAAGCATCAGCCAATCCTTTTTACCATAGTGTTGCTTTACCACCCTGCGCAATGAAGCTGCAATGGATAAAGTCTCTAAGTATAATGTTGACAAGACATTAGTGCTGCCCAGTGCATTTGCTCTTCTCTCTCATCAGAGACACTCACAGTTCCCACACTGCATTATCTGAATGGCCCTGGGTCAGTGAAAGGGTCTGCTGTAATTTGAAAAGGAAATGATCTTTTGTGGAACTTGTGGAGCAGACGAAGCAGAGGAACAGGGTGGGGGGAAGAGGTGGGAAGTTGAGTAGGTGTCAACAGGCAAGGAGAGTTGATGGAAAGGTGAAATTTTAACTTCCTCTCCTGGCAGCCGGTGAATGTGTTAATAGGAGCGAGGTTTGCAATGAACTGATGTCTATCTGGATGGGCAGACAGGGAGAGGCAGACACGCGAAATGAAATTCTGATGGATTCCCTACTGCATTACTTTTTTTCCTTGGA